TGCTTTAAACCAATAAATATTTTATTTTTAACCAGTTGGATTCTCTTTTGGCAAAATTTCTTGTGAAGGTGATACCATTTGACACATTTTCATAACATCAAAAGGGACAGTGGTGATTGTGGACATTTTACATTGGAGAGCTAAAATCTTTCACAATGCCGGAAAAAAGTAATTACACATAATTACTCCCTCACTAAAAGCTACCTATACATAAACTCTATTGAATATAATGCTTGGGAAGCAAGCCTTTAATATTACCGTCAAGATAAGGTTACTGATAAAATATGACGACAACAAAGCGCTGATCATCTTCAATGAATCAATCTTTCTTTTTAATCGTTCATGTAAAAATGAACAACATAAAATGTTGAATACGGCCCCAGAGGGAAAGTGTTTATTTCAAAGAATGTTTGGTTGCGACTCTTTTATCGATCATGTAATTTTCCTAACATAATTCGTTCTAAAATGGTTTGTATGCATAGGGTTTACAAACATATTACAAAATCAAAAGTAAAGTAAGCCCTTGATTTTGATTCTTAAGCCAGTCTGATCTTTCTATATGCATCTCTAAAGCAAAAACAGCTGCGTCCAGGATAAAGGAAAATAATAATTAATCCCTTTTTGAAAATTTGGAGCAAAACAGCATCAGTATAGCGATTCATAGAAAATAAAGGTGAGTTGGAGTTGTGTTAAAGATGCGGTTTCATTGTCGGTCGTTTTAAGTACAAGACATTATGCAATAAGAAGAAAGATTGACTTGATCGTTCAACTAACAATAATTCCGTACATATGTTTAACTTACAGTAATTTGTCATAGTATAATGACAATGAATGTTTGTTTTATAGTTCCACAGAAAATGCTTAGTTTATTGTCTATGGTGACTCAGAGGGGCTCCAAACAAAAATAAAATGCATCACATTGACAGATAATTACAAAAAGTATATGTTTTAACTTTTATAGCACCAGTTAAGCATTCCAATTATATGTAATGCATTAAATGTTGTACAAATACCAATAATACTATAGCTTTCTCCATTGAAGACTTACACTTGTAAGCAATATGTCAAGTCTATAGAGTTTACATTTTACTTGCTTATCTATCATATGATGTTATAGTCTAAAATGGTAAACTTGACATACTATATCGACACACACATGGCTATTGATGAAGATTGTATGTCGATCTTTAGATATTTACATACTATATCGACACATGGCTATTGATGAAGATTTTATGTCGATCTATACTCGACATACTATATCGACACATGGCTATTGATGAAGATTGTATGTCGATCTTTAGAACTTTACATGCTATATTGACACATGGCTATTGATGAAGATTTTATGTCGATCTATACTTGACATACTATATCGACACATGGCTATTGATGTAGATTGTATGTCGATCTTTAGAACTTTACATACTATATCGACACATGGCTATTGATGAAGATTTTATGTCGATCTATACTTGACATACTATATCGACACATGGCTATTGATGAAGATTGTATGTCGATCTTTAGAACTTGAACTACTTTAACCAGTGGCGGATCCAGAAATTTTTTTAAAGGGGGGGGGGGGGGGTGGGGGCTACTGACTGCCAAAGAGGGGGCCAGCTCCAGTCATGCTTCAGTGATTCCCTAAATATTCAACCAAATTTTTCCTACAAAAGGGGGGCTGGGCCCCCTGCCCCCACCTAAATCCGCCTCTGGTATCGACACGTCTATTGATGAAGACCGTATGTCGACCTATATTTGACATACTGTAAAGACACATATCTATTGATGAAGACTGTATCTCGACCTTTAGATGTCTTTTTTGTTATTTGTATCGTTGGGATCGTTGTTTCTTCGACGAATACTCCACATCTCCATTAGTCCTATTCCTATTGTACAACCAAATACCCCACATGTCAATTATTTCTATTCCTGTTGTACAAGTGAATACCCAACATCTATATTTCTATTCCTGTTGTACAACCAAACACCCCACATGTCAATTATTTCTATTCCTGTTGTACAACCAAACCCAACATCTCCTTTATTTCTATTACTGTTGTACAACCAAACACGAACAATCGTGATTACAGTAGAATTGAAAACTTAGTAAATGTGTAAGCCATTTCTTTTAACTTTCCACAAACAACAAACCCGTTTCTCCTTGGGAGCCTCTTCTGCATTTGTAATGATATCACCCCGTCATGCAGAACAACAATTTTTTGCCATAATGTGCATCATGCGTTGAATTGAGCCATAAATCTGTAGACATGAAAAGCTCTGGTACAATTTCATTTATAAAGATGACATTTATTAACAGCAAATCCCTTTCCTTCCCATACCTGAAAACTTGTGTCATGTCGATTTCATTGATTTTTGTTACGTTTTAAAGCATTATAAGAAAATGTGAAAATACTTAATGGATTTTTGTTTGTAAAAACAGATTTTGATGGACTTGTACTTATACCACATCTTATTATTTTTACAACTGGATGTTTGCATTTGAAAACAACCTCATGAATTTTGAGAAACATTTGTAATTAGTATGAGAAAAACTGTATTGAGATTTGTATGTTACTCAGTATTCAGTAGGTCGAATCTCAAATTGAAGACATTTCTGATGTAAAATTCAATGTACAGTAGCACGGCAGCATTTAATTGACAAACTCGTCAGTTTCAGTAGCTGTATAAAGTTTACAAAATTACATGTCAGTATTTCATAAACATATCTGTCACTTACAATAGGTTGTCAACACAATCTGCCTATAGTCAATTTTGATATCATAGCACTATACAAGAACGTTGTTTTATTGGATTTTCTTTTATGCCTTTTGCTGTATGTTATTTTAGTTAAACACATAGTATTGGACGGTTTGTTTCCAAACTTTGTTGGTCTATTTTTGTTCGTATGTTCGTAAAAATTATAAAATTTGCAGCTATTAAACAACAACAAAAAAACGGCCTTACATCCATTGTATCAGGCATTTGTTGGTCACGTGATATTTTGGATTGACAACCTGGTATCTCTGACATCCATATTGTTTTTCCAGGCGTAATTCTCTGTTCCGAATGATTAATGATTTACAGCAAAGCAAACGTACAAATATTGCTAATAAATTGTTTCTCACTTCTTAAATTGATTGTATAATTAATATGTCTGTGTTCATATGCCGAAAACTACAGACGCCTTGTCAGAAATTTTTATATGCATTCAACATGCTTTGATGATAGTAAGCGAACATAACGTTGTGTAAAAACTGTGCAGATGAACTTAATGAAAAATGACAGAATTTATATGTACAGTGATACTGTTATATTGCACGAGAAGAAAACATTGTAGCATCGGACTGTTTTGTGTTACATTGGTTTAGTTAGTAATTATTGGGTAAGAAAAGTAAAAAGTTCGGGGATAAAATTCTGGAAAATATTTACTTTTTTCTCAGATGAAACATATCTCTTCAATGAAGGAATGACACAAAACTACTCAGAAGACAAGACAGTTATATCATCAGTGTTGATCTGCTAATTTGTAGGCAGCCTGTCGATAGTATCTGTACATCTCAGTTGTACAAGCAATCTCCATTTTCTTGTTGTGTCTGACGTTAAATTGCATTCTTTTCGTAACCAATTCCAAGATAATATATTTGTAGTCGTGCCTTAGTGATGCACATAAATATCATCTCTTATCAAATTTTCTACAAAAGAATACATCTAATCATCATGGAAGACTTTCTATACTCTCATTTGTCAGAGGCTTTTTGATAATAAAACTCATCACTTTTTGATTTAAAGAATATTATTTTGTTATTAAGCCTTTTTCGGTAGGGGAAATGTTACACGAGTGCACATTAGTAAAGGTTGTTATAGTGTAAAGGACTGAACGCCAACCAGAAAATGAGGTCCGTTTTACACTCCAAATCAATGATCGTCAGTGCGAAATAGATAATTGTATGTGTATGTCAAAGTTAGGAACAACACCGTGTATAAGTTAAAGATAACCTGTATATTTACTGTAATATAAACATGATTTATATTTGTATGACCCCAAGTCTTTAATTAAGAACTAATGATGTTGGTATTTACGTTTTTGTCACATTTTTTTATTTAAATGTATAGCTTGTTAATTTTCTGGTCAAAAATTGTTTCCCTTAACATAAATCCACACACACGCTACTAAATATAAATGTATATAAAAGACCAAAAAGGCTTTAAACGGTAAGAACCGTTGATTACGAAATGATTTTTTTGTTATGCTTCAAATATAACCCCCACATTATAATTCATCATGAGAGTTTTATTCTTTGTTTTGAACAAAAATAATCCTTCACTTGAGCAGCGACAGTATTCCTAGTAATCTACTTTTTTTTAAATCATTGCGAACGTTTGCAATGGCTTTTTGGAGATTAAAAGTTTCTCAGACAACACTTGTATGTTTTATTCTAGTATCTACTTCCACATCGGGACTGCAGGACGTCGAAAAGTTGTCGTCTGCAAGTTTTCATAATCATCAAAACTAAATTGTTTTTGATCCAACAGATTGTACAAGCCTATCATCCATTATTCATATAATTAAGCACTTAAAATATTTTGCTGGAATTCATTTGATTTTTTGTGTATTCAGAATACAAGCAGTGAAAGTTTTAAACGGGTTTTAAGTAACACATAACATAAGATTTTAAGAAATATTTCTGAATTTCAAAGAAATTATCTCAAAAATTTATTTTTATGATGCGGCCAAAAGTCATAATATTTTGTTTTTGCGTCTACAGTCTATTTAGAAAAATAGCCAATGGTATAAAATTTAAAGCCTTTCTTGTTACATGTGTACTAAATCAATTTATAGCAATTTCTTAAATCTGCTTGATTGATTGTTGCATGCTATGACAATTAATATATTAAAATATATATATATATATAGCTATTAAACGTATGCTACAGAGGTGTGTCAGCTGTTTAACAATTTGTGCAATTTTAACTAAATGACCTTTGTTTTTCAGGAGAGATTAGATGTTACTGTAACGAGGCTCGGTGTGTTCGAACAGGCTACATGTGTAAATCAACATTAAATGCGTGTTACTCAATACTAACTTATGATGATGGGAAACCAAAGACAACTCAGGGATGTATCGAGTCTTTAGAGCCATCAAAGCGTGTCGTGTGCAAAAGTGAAAAACCTGAACAATATACAAGCAAGTTACCAACACAGGAACAATCTCTGTTAATTTGTTGTCACAATGACATGTGTAATTATAACGAAAAAACAATTAGCATAATAGTCAAGGAAAAATCAAATGGCAGTACTCAAAATGGTAAGTTTAATTCAAAAATGCATTCAAAAATGCGAGCGTCTGAGATATAAATGAAAACTTTGATTTATAAATTAGATAAACACGATAAAACAAAAACACGATAAAACAAAAACATGCTACTTCACTAAATTTCTGACAACTATTTGAAAAAAGTATGCACACAACATCAGCACAATGTTCAAAATGTAACCTGCTGTTTGCACCGAAGTTAATGCAATGAACTTTAATTGTCTCCTTGTTTTACCTTCAAATGTTGTTGCACTTTGTGAGAAAATAGCTATAAAGTAAATTGAGACACTGGAGATGTATTTCACATCGACATGCACACATGCAAATTAATGAAAAAATGCTAAAAACTATAAAAGTCGGAGTGTTTTAGATCATTAGAACAGCAAAATTTAACTAAATCTTAATGAAAAGAATAGGCGTGAAATTGAAACAGAATTCATCGAATGTAGAATTCTGTGATGAAAATTGTTCTGAAGACAACTGTTCCTATTGACACGTTTTCTGTAATTGAAAGCATTGCATAGATTGCATCTCTTGTATCTAATTAACTGCAATACATCTTTCTTCTTTGATGGTGAAATAGACTGATAATTTATGGTGGTATCGGATCGTCAAAATACGAAATATCAACATATACACGGGTTCAAGATTAGGCTTTGACGCAAACTTTAATAAATTTTAATGAATTTTAAAATATCAAAAATCGAAATAAAAATAACTTGTTTTTGGGGAAATAATAAAATTAGGAGAAAGGAAACAAGCAAGCTTCTTTATGTTAAAAAAAAATCGACGTTTAGTACATAGACAAGTATCTAAAATAAGTAATTTAAGTATTTTTATGGTCATGCTTTCAAAGTATTTTGGGTTTTCTGTTTCGGGTCAGACTTCCTGAGTTTTACTTTCTGTTTTATGGTCATGTTTACTGTAAATCAGATGAATAGGTAAGTTGTAGACATCCAGAGATACAATAACTGGCGACAGTAGACTGGATAGTGTTATTGTAAGCCCAAGGCACGAAGGCTGGATAATTACTCTAAAATCCCCCAAACCACCTGTTTGTTGAGTAAGAACCGTATTGTATCGTATAATTTTCGGATTTGAAACTTTAACTAATTTTTATAAATGCTTGATTTCCTTAATCCTATGAAAGCGGCTTACGATGAATATCTCATGTCGAGTTTTTTTAAGGTAACGTTTACAATTGTAGAAACTTTTTGAAAAAAAGTTGAATGGAAATAAAAAAAAAACACTCATCTCTTGGTTGTCTATTTATTGCAATCAAAGATTATTTGGGCTATTTTTTTGTATAATTTTCAGTTCGAGGAAAAAAATCAAGAAATTAAACAAAATATAGTTTTATTATTATTATTATATATACTGGTATTTGAAATATAAGCACAAATTGATTGGCGCATTAAAACTACGAACCAGTCCTCCTCCCATCACGATCTTAGCTAAATAGTTTACGATTAAAACATTCCTGTCCCATATGGTTACTTGTTGAGCTTTGCTCGTCGCCAGAAAGATATATCCTAGAGGCGACACTATGTATACGTTCTGTTCAAAATGTAAATGAGTCGTAAAATGTGATTAGTAAATTAACCCCACCAGTTTAAATTTGGGATTAATATTTGAAATCCGGATTAATTATACATTAAAACTATATTTTGTCAGACTTAAGGATATTGTTATTGCTAATTAAACATGCGACAATCCTATTTTTTGTCAACTAGTGATATCTTGAAACAAAACGGAAAGACTGTGCAACATCACGAGAAAATATTGTTTTTAAGGGTAGATTCAGGTTTATGTTGTGAAACTGGAAATTGACTGTTAGCTATACTCAAAGTAATACACGAGAATAGACATTAAATGTACAAATCAGGAAATGTGGTATGATTGCCAGACTTTTATTGCAGATTAATTTAAATATCCCAATGCATAGTAATGCTGTCAACTTCATGGTGCATTTTAATTGCGATATTTCCAATGTGAGGTCTCCCATAAATCGAAATCTTCTGACAAAACTATATTTTTCGTAATTTTTAAGAAATATATTTTGATAAGAGATATGGTGATAAGAGTTTTCCTTCGTCAGATTATATAGATTTGCTTAAGCGTTTTTTCAAAAGAATATTTCAACGATGATCATATCCAGATTTTACAAACATTTGCTTGACTGGTTCTGACAGAGTCGCCACGGGAAGCATGGGAGGGGATACAGTTCAAAGTACATTTAGTATAACTATTGCTACACAAACATTCATTTCAAAATGAGATTTAATGACACAAATGCTGCATACGACGATGACAACACTGTCATTATTAAATTCAAAATTTGCAAGTGAGTGGAGGATCAGGTTCATTTGCACAATGGAAACAAAAGAAAAACTTCCTTCGATCAGCATTACTTTTCCCAATGACCATCGCAGACTGTAACCGCGAATATGCACTTTAAGGTTCTTTTGTATTGATTGACATTAGTACTAAAATGTATATTTGACACAGATTGCCAAGTTGTACACGAAATCTGAGACAAATTGTTATTTTTAAGTATGTTACAGACTGTAATTTATCGCTGTATAATATTGGACATGACTGTACGCGGTATGAAATCGTGTTTGTCAAACTCGGTAATCAAGATTACAGATTTATATGTCCTGAAGTATTATCAAAAGAGTAATTTCCAGGAAACTTTATGATAATTAAATGTCATGCTTCTATTAGCTTCTTGACTTTTGGCGCCAGTTCATTCAACCAAGAAAGGTTGTCAATATTTATTCTGAAACTTAAACCTTGCTGTAGACGAACCTGGTGTCGTCAAGAGACAAAAGCGCCAATTGAAGGCATTGTGCTGCGAGTGATTGTCGTAAAGCTTCCCATTATACCCAGAATTATGGACAATTTTAGCATGCAATTACTGAAAAACTAATGATTGATAATTTTCCTTGTATTGAACAGGACACAATATTGCTATTGGGAGATTCTGGGTCGATTTCGTTATTTGAAATCAGAAATCTGTGGCGCGACAACATGGCGACCTTTTGGTCGTCTGCTGTCGATTAATTCGTTTGAAGTTTTCCTAAGAGTGATCAAACTATAAGACAGAACATCTCCGGAGATTATTCCATAAGGAAATAAAACATTGAAACGACATTGATTGCTTAATCTGGAGATATCATCCGTCTCATTAATGAATTGTTTATGAGTGATTGGCATCACATGCATACGATAGTTCCAAGAAATAACGTATTCCATGAAAACTATACTGTTATAAAAAAAGTTCACCAGAAACCGAATAGTTGTTTGAATATTATGTAAACTTGTGATTATACATTGATGTTTTAGACTTTCATTAAATGGCTTCAGTATGTCGTTGTTAAGCCACGAAAACGACACAAGCATACTGTCTTCAGAGCATTAGATACAAATATATCGAACACTGATTTTTCCTTGAAATGTTAACAAAAAGTCATAGTTGATGTGCACTATCGACTATATATGCAAAGACAACTATATTTTCATGAATAATTAATAAAGTATGAAAAAAACTATTTTTGCCTAGTGAAATAACGTTACAAAAAATACGTGCAAAAATTTGATTGTCTTTGTTGACAATACTTGTAAAACATTTTAAAGGATGTATAATAAACTTAGGACTTCACATTTAAAAAGAATGTATCAAATTGAATAATTATATATATATATATATATATCTAACATTGTTGGGCTGTTGTTTAGACGAATTATATATATATATGTATATATAACAAGTCTAAAAGGGTACAACATCACCAAAAAATAATTAAATCATGAATAAATTTTAGATATTTCGGATAACTAATATCCTTCATCAGTAAGATGTAAAATGAATCTTATCTTGACATGTGGTAGTCAAACTGAAATAAAAATCTTGAATACTATACAAATTATCAATTATAATTTTTTTTCAATATTGATGTTTGGGAGGAGGAATAAATTTCTTAAAACTGTAAGAGTCCAAAACGGAAGCCTAAGTTACTGGAAACAAGTGATGGTAGGGAAAATGAGTGACACATTCTATGCTTTTTCATTTATGCCCTCTGGGGAAACTGTCCTAAGCTTTCTTATCCAAAACCTTTCCCGAGCAAGTCTGTCGGCCCTTGACCAACCCTCGTTGTGGTCTATGATAGTGACGGTAAGGTTTTTGAGATCAGCTTGGGCGTGCCCAGGTGATCTCAAATGACGACTTACGGGGAGGTCGGGCTTGCAGGTGTAGTCACTTCGATAACCATTCATGCGTTTGTTGAAAGGCTGTTCTGTCTCGCCAACATACTGCATGCCACATCGACACTGAAGAAGGTATACAACATTCTGGGTTTTGCAAGTCTAAATTGAAAACAACGTTCAAACCTATGATTGCGTTGGATAAAAACCGCAATTTTTATACGTGTGCATGCAAAACAAATTTCTTGGTAGAGGGGTATAAATACAGCACAAACAACATTTTCCAAAAGATATATATATATATCACTGGACATTGTTTAGTAAAATGTTTATGAAAATGATAATAAAACAATGCAAACTTATTTTACTTTTATATAAAGTAATAGTAAAGGAGGAAAGCAGCCGAGCATATTGATGAAAAATTGTCTTTGATATGATTTGTTGGGTCAATAAGACAACCTCTTTTCTATTTTAGGCAATGAAAACTTATTAGAAGATGTTCCATCCTTTCACAAAGACCCAAAGGATTCCAGCGTCGACAAAGACTTGTGGTTTAAAGCTGCCGTGATTGCAGTTCCCATTGCGGGGGGATTCATTCTCATTTTATTGGTGCTGTTGGCTGTGCGCATGCTTAGATCAGACTCTCGCAGACACAGACAGTTGATACAAATCCAACGGGAAAGGACAAGTCTCACAAAAGCTCAACTTTATGTAACGGACCATTTTTGTGACAAACCATGTAACAAAAAAGCACCTTTATTATATGACGATAAACAAAATAGTGTGTGTAAAGAACCTTTTATCAAAGTAGATAAGGATGGTAAAATATATGAACAAGTTGGAGATACTTCAAAGTGTAAAAACAAAAGTCCTTCGTTAATTGTTTGGGGGAAACCGGGGAAAACTGATTTTGCTACCGTTGTATAATGTTTTTCTTTTGTGTATTAACAGTAAAAATGTTGATTTATCATACATTAGAGCATCGGGATGATGTTTACAATTACAACAAATGTACGAAACCTGTATGTCCATATTATCTGTCACATATGAAAGTTGGTAAATACAGATGAGTGGCTTTCACCATCTCCTAAAATGCTTTTGTTGGTACAAAGGATATATTTGGTTTTTGTTGGTACAAAGGATATATTGGGCTTTTGTTGTACAAAGGAGGTATTTGGCTTTTTCAGTTGCCAGGGATTCTATAATTGATCAAAAAGTGAATCGACTCAAATCACATAAAATAAATTATGATATCATTGTCGGATCTATCATACCTATCGAGATCCGAGCAGTTTTATTTTTGATGTTCAGAAATGCTCAATAAAGTTTTGTTCATCTCAACATTTCTTAATTAAAGATTAAAAGGGAAAAAGTTATCCTGCAAGAATATTTTCTCACAATTAAAGCACAGTGGACATTTGGAATAGTTACATTTTGTAGTTTTGACAAGATTAAAACAGAAAACATAAACTATAACAAATTGTAATTCCAATTAACAAAGTCGCCTACATTTACAATACAATTTTGGAAGAAAAAGCCAATCGGCCATTAACGTTACTTGGTTTAAAATTGTTGTGGTTATGTGATATAAGTTTATATGCTTAAAACGAATTCAAATAGTCGTTTTTAATACGTGCTTTCAAATCTTAAATGCGCATGACATGATGTGAATGTTATTTTGTAAGAGTGTACATGAATTATAGAAAGCTCCTTCAAAAGGGGTTTTTCCATTGTTGTAAATGTTTGTGAATATGTTGTGAATGAAGACGTGATGCACATGTATGGAAGTTGTTCTTTGTTATTTGTCTTCTAAAGACAGACAGAGTATTTTTATTATATATATTTGAAATTCTTATTTATTAAAAATAAATTATGAAACATTTGACATATTTGTATTCTTTGTAAGCCATATGCATCACATTTCAAGACGAAAAGTTTAAAGAGAATAAAAAACATGTGCTATAGTGTAGTAGGGAAGCCGTTGGTTTGATCATCGACAGATGACAATCTTTTTTTTTGTATTTTTGTAGTCCACAACCCTGTGTCTTATCTAGGTATAGAGTTGTATTCATTATGAAGTCATATGAAATTATGAGTGTTGCTTGATTCTTGACGCTTACGTTTTAAAACAAATGTTTCCTTTGAAGAGCTGTTGCAAGGGTTCTAGATTATATAGACAGCGTAATAAAAGGCTTTGGAATTACTCCGCAGATCTCTTGGTACAGTTGGTGCGCACTCTTTCATGCAATGTATGAAAACTGCCTCTAGGGCAGAATTTACTTTAGAATTAAGAAACTAAATGTGTATTCCCTCGGGCACCTGAATGCCTGCAATCAGTAAAAACGTAATTAAGGTACGTAGTTGTATAAAAAGATTTCGCTACCAGAAATTTTCCTGACGTTACCGCTAACATTTAGATTAGTGGAAATAACGTCAGTCACATGTACAAGCTATGCCATCTTTACCTTTAAAAGATTATACAACCTAGAGTTGGCTCTGTTGTTAAGGCTCTGTATGTACTATGTATGGCTAGCTATGAGATGTATCTTGAATGAACGGATATGAAACTATGAGGAAGAAGCTCATAATTGTCCATACACAGAATAAATTCGACTAGATTTTTGTTACTTATTCAATGCTGTGAAACGAACTTCGTCTATGATAGTTATAAGTATTGGTACACTGTGATCTTCATGCCTAATATAAGAATGGATACTTTTTGTAGTTGACATTTGGCAAGAATATTCGATATGCACCTGGGCTGTTTAGAGGTTAATATATTGTAAACATTGGCCCATTGATGGAGACCGTATGTTGATTTTATATGGTAACAATGGCTCTTTGAAGGCGACCGTATTTTGATATCATATGGTTAACACTGGTCTATTTGAGGAGACCGTATGTTGATATTATATGGTCAACACTTGCCCTTTGAAGGAGACCTTATGTTGATATAATATGGTCAACACTTACCCTTTGAAGGAGGCCTTATTTTTATATTATTTATTGTTAACACTTTCCTATTGAAGGTGACCAATGTTGATATCATATGGTCATGACTAAGTCTTGCCCTTTGAAGGCGACCGTTGGTAAACACTTGGATATTGAAGGAGACCGTATGACGAAAACCGAATATTGGATACTATATGGTCAACACTTGCCCTTTGGAGGAAACCGTTTGTTAATATTATATGTTTAACATTGCCTATTGATTAATTGATTTTTGCTTGCTTAGCGTTCAGTGAAAATTATCTCATGCACTTTCAGTACGAGAAACTATCAATAATTTAAAATACAACAGATAGGTTCTGCATGATTGGAGACTAGGATGAAGGACTACAACTGAAAATAAGGGTATGCTGAGTACAGGGTGACAGTTACCTACGGATCCTTGATGAGTTGTTGCAAGTGTTCTGAATCAGACATAACTCTTGAAAATAAATAATCAGACTTCTTTCTGGACGATACATAATCAGACCCTACTTTTGACGATACATAATCAGACCCTACTTTTGACGATATATAATTATACTTCACTCTTGACGATACATAATCAGACTTCTCCCATGACGATACATAATCCGACTTATCTCTTGACGATACATAATCAGACTTCTCCCTTGACGATACATAATCAGACTTCTCTCTTGACGATACATAATCAGACTTTTCCCTTGACGATACATAATTAGACTTCTCTCTTGACGATACATAATCAGATTTCTCCCTTGACGATACATAATCAGTCTTCTCTCTTGACAATACCTAATCAGACTTCATTCGTGAAGATACATAATCAGAATTTATTCTGGACAATACTTTATCAGACTTCATTCGTGAAGATACATAATCAGACTTCATTTTGGACAATACATAATCAGACTTCTCAATTGACGATACATAGTCAGAATTCTCTTGACGTTACATAATCAGACTTTATTCGCGACGATACATAATCAGACTTCATTCTTGACAATATATACTCAGACTTCTCAATTGACGATACATAGTCAGACTTCTCTCGACAATATATAATCAGACTTCTCTTCTGACGATATATAATCAGACTGCTTTCTTCGCAAAATACAATCACACTTCTCTCTAGACGATATATAATCAGACCACATTTTTGACAATGCAAGAGGGGGTGGACAGCTTTTGAGGGAGGTGGGGGCGGAAGGTGGGAGAAAGGGGGCGGGAGGTAGGAGGTGGGAGAGAAAAAAAGATTCTAAAAGTGGGAGGTGGGAGATAGGGGGCGGGAGGTGGGAGAAGGGTACCCCTTGTCCACCCCCTCATGCAAAGTAAGACTTTTCTCTTGAAACTATATAATGAGTCCGGTCTCTTGACGATACTTACTCAGACTTCTCTCTTGACGATGCATACTCAGACTTATCTCTTGAAGATAAATAATCAGACTACACTCGTGGTAAAATATGATTAGACTTTTCGCTTGCCGATATATAATCAGTCCGGTCTCTTGACGATACATAGTCAGACTTTTCTCTTGACGATACATAATCAGATTTCACTCTCGACTACATAATCAGTCCAGTCTCTTGACAATGCATAGTCAGACTTTTCTCTTGGCGATACACAATCAGACTTCTCTCTTGGCATTACGTAATAAGACTTCTCACTTGACAATACATAATCAGAGCTAACTCGTGACAATACATAATCAGACCTCACTCTTGATAATACATAATCAGACTTCTCAGTTGACGATACAGAATCAGACTCTCTCTTGACGATAGATAATCAGACCTCACTCTTGACAATGAAGAGTTGGACTTCTCTCTTGACAATAAATAATTGGATTTCTTACTTGACGATACATAATCAGATTTCACAATGGACGATACATAATCAGACTTCACAATGGACGATACATAATCAGGCTTCGCAATGGACGATATTTAATCAGACTTCGCAATGGACGATACATGTGATACGTGTATCCGCCTTCTCTCTTGACTATGCATGATCAGATCTCATTTTTGACGATTCTTTATCCGCCTTCTCTCTAGACAAAACATAATAAAGCTTCCCCCTTAAAAAACACAATCAGGCCTGTCATTTGATGATACATGGTCAGACTTTTCTATCGACGATACATTTAAATTTTTTTGTTATTGACGATACATTTAAAGATTTTTCTAATGCCACTATGAAATCAGATTTGTTTATTGACAATGCGTAAGTAAACAAAGTACATAAACAGACATGCCTACTTTCAATCAAAAATTTATATCTCATTCTACTAAAAAAAATAGTAAATTATTTTTCATGATAATAAACATGTTGTTGATACGATATTTCAACTCTACATGGGTACTGTTAGCTTTGTAGTAAGATCTTTGAATATTGTCTTTATAGGTATCAACATTGATTTTATGTTTAATAGTTTAAAACAAAACTTAAGTGTATTGCTATCCAGGTACTTGTATTTCACCATTGCACAATGTCACACTTTTCTCTGCTAATGACGTCTGTACAACAGCTCCGTTGGAGGTGTACTGATTGACATTTTATTCTCGAACTTAGCACGAACGCCACAAAAAAAAAACGAGAGTGAACCTGTAATCCAGTGGTTGTCGTTGCATGGTTCCTGTATGTCATATATGTGTTTCTTTCTTTGTGGTATCCTTATACAATCAGGCCGTTGGTTTTCTCTTTTGAAATGATTAACATTTTGTCAAAAATTAAAATAACAAAAATACCGAACTAATAGTGAATTAAACCTTGTTTTATAGCTGGCTAAACCTCTCACTTGTATGACAGTCGCATATAATTCCATTATATTGACAACAATGTGTGAACAAAACAAACAGACATAATAGGTAAAAATGTCAAAAATAGGGGTACAGCAGTCAACATTGTGTTTTAATCTTAATCACTATAAAACAAACAAATATGTCAACAAAGAAACACAAAATGACATATAGACAAAGCACATAAGCAAAATTGAAAGACAAGAATACAAAAAATGACCACAGCACAACAACACAATGGCGGAATGCATAAGTACAGAGTCACGCCAAAAGGATATCACCAAAAATGGACTAAACAGTAAATGTTAATAATTTACAAAGACAAATAAAAGAACACTATAACACGTAATCAATATGATAAACAACGTCAGTACCTAAAATCTATACTTCAAAACCATCATGTATTATTTGTGAAGTTGATAAGGAACATTTATCAACAAGGTTTTGGTATCTTCCGATGAACTTTTTTAGAAAAAGGACGAGACGTTCTTTGACATTATCCTTGTTCATCAACCTTCTGCTCAGACACTGATGACGTTTTGTAAAGTCTGAGTAGCAGCTGTAAGCTCTTGAATACCGAATGAGTTGGAAAATGTATATCCCATATGCAGGTGAAGTTGGTATATTGCTACTAATGTGGGGGAAATTGATAATTTCAAAATTAAAATCGTCTCGTTTGTCATAGATTATGGTACTGAGATGACCGCTTATGTCAAATTCGAGGTATAAGTCTAAAAATGAGGCGGAGGAAGGGGAGCTTACTATACAGTATGGGTTTTGCTCATAGTTGCAGGCGGTGACATTTCCCGTATGAATGCATGGACGTCTCATCGTCTACCATGCCACATCTGCTACTCTTTATATAAACTACGTATGTCACGCGGCCCACGTGTTCATTTTATGTATGAAACAAAAGTACGTTTGTATAAATTTGATTGCATGTATATCCTTTGCATGAGAAAGAAAAACACAAAATTTAACATTTTACCACTAATAAGAGTAGCCACAATCACTAATATTCCAACAATTGATTTCCTTGCTAAATTCGAAAATTTAGAATCTCGGGTTTTCACATGGGTTGCTAGGCTGCAGTCCTTTTGCACCAATTGCTATT